TATATATGACACTCTTTTCTTGTGAAAATGTTCATCTACAAAAAATTTTCATAAAATAATATTTGGGTTGTTAAGTCAAGTGTTTCCAAAATTGAGTCCTTGAGCATGTTCTATGAGATCCAAGATATTTTTTTTTTAAAAAGGGATCCATGTAATTCTACCTTTGAGATATGCTGATGTATCAGTTAGCCTTTGCCATGTAACAAACCACTTGGAAAGTTACTGGCCAAAATTCCTTCATGTTCCTTCATGTCACAATTTTGTGAGTTGGAAATTTGGGCTGAGATTGGCTAGGAGGTTTTTCTGGTCTCGGCTGGGCTCACTCATATGCACGTGGTCAGCTGCTGGGTTGACTAGGACAGGCTGGGGTGGGGTGGCCTCAGTAGGGACAGCTCTGCATTGTCTTGCATTAGGTAGGTTGGTTCTCACAAGATGGCAGGTTTCCTAGAGGGTAATTACAGACATGTAAGGCCTCTTCAGACTGAAGCTTAGAATAGGCACATTGTAGCTTCTCTCTATTCTATTCTCTCTACATTCCATCGAAATGTCACATTGCAAGGAAATGAAGTTAAGGAGGAAAATAATTGCAGGCATTCTTGCGATAGTAAATAGTTAAGCCTATAGGAACCAGTGATTTCCTAAACACGCTTAGTAGAAACCCCACCCAGGGCTTCCTGGTATGATGTATGATGAGTAGAGTGGGGTAAAGGGTCAGAGGAATATTTCCAGACAGTAATGTGAACTCTGGCTCTTTTGCTTTTAACTAAATCAGCTCTGATTTTATATGCTTTGTCTGTGTTCAATTGCTTTGGTTTGAGACCTTTAAAGGGTTCCATGCCCCAAACGTCAGCCATCAGGAGTATATTGATGGATGCTGTGGGAAGATAGAAAGGTGAGAGCTCCCTGTGAGTAGAAGTTTTGTGGGACAGGGAACATCCTGGAAAAGTGTGACGTCGGCAAGAATGGGAAAAAGTTTCATTGCGAGTCACAACCCTGTGGGATTCTTTTTGGCTCCCTTAGACCATCTGCATATTGGTTTGAATAAAGCAGGTCCTCAATAAAGTGTTTAGTAAGCCAGTGAATAGATGGATGAGTTAGCAAGTATATTGGGATTTTACCACATTTTCCCTTAGATTAATCCCACCAGAGGTGAGCCCACAATTAGTTGTCTAAAGAACCACTAAGGAAAGAAAAGCCAAAATGAATGGTCTCTGAGATGTGTAATAAGCTGAAAAAAGGAAACATAACAGTCATAAAATAGTGGATTTGTCTACTGTATTTATTTATTTAATCTCCTCTGATCAGAATTATTCTCTGAAATATATACCCAGCAGAACTGTAGCCACTGAAAGAAAAAAGGGGGAAGACAGAAAAACTCAGCAGTGGATAGAACATCCTTGTCCACAGACACACAAAACACCAATCTGGGTTCCGTTATACAGCCCAGAATTCACATTTTAAGTATCCTTATTAGTTTCCTTTTAGGCCAGGTTGGGCATTGGAAATAACGTAAACAGACTTGATTTGCGTGACTTTGAAAATGTGTATTGAACCCAAGCTAGCTAATATTTTTCTTTGGTTTTGGTTTCAAATGGGGAAATACGCTTAATTATAGCTTGCATCATCTCTTGGAAATTGTAGCATTTATATGTTGATGTAACTTGCCTGACTGTAAAAGGAGGACTATGTATAGGTAAAGGGGCATATGTAAATGGATCCAAAGCATGTTTGGCAAGGCAGAAAAGCCAAAAGGAAAAGGGGAAAATCACATTACCTGCCAAACACTTAGGGGCTGCATGCCAAAAGTTGCCTTCACTTCCTCCAAATGTGTAGCCGGGTTTGGTCTTCAGCCCTTTACATAAAACTCTATTTAAGTTTAGCCTCTAAAATTTCGGGGGAAAGTGGGAAAGGCTTTGAGTGATTTCAGTACAATTATGTCTAGGAAAACTGCGCTCGAACACATGGTAGCTTCTTCAGCATACATTTTAGATGTGGATTGGGCTTAATTTTATACTTAAATATTTTGGAATAAATGTGGGTTATTTCTACAGATTTTGGCCTACAGGTCACCTTGTGAATTGTTTGCATTCTCAAGTGCAAAGATTTACATAAAAATAGACGACTGTATCAGCTATTAGCTACTAACTATATTGGCTATTAGCCAACTGTATTAGCTATTACCACATAATACTATGAGACAACAGATTCCAGACTCAGCGACTTAAATCTGCAGTCATTTATTCCCATGAAACTTTGTGTCAACTGGAAGGGGGCGGGGGCAGGCCGCTGATCTGGACTTGGTACTGGTTAGGTGGCTGTGCTCCAAACTTCATGTCCAGCTGGGCTTAGCTGGGCTAGCTTTGCTTCCTGAATTCCTGAATATCTATTCTGGGGCCCCAGGAAAAGAAAAGCATTGCCCAGGAGGTTCTCCTCTCATGGCAAGTGGCACATGTGCCAGAGAAAGTTGAAATGTATGAGGTCGTTTAAGGTCTATGTCCAGGAATGGCACTCTGCCACCTCTGCTCACATGTTATTGGCCAAAGTAAGTTGCAAGGCCAAGGCCAATGTCAAGGAGCAGGCAAGTGCACTCTGTTTCCTTTAGAAGGAAACACTGCAAAGTTACCTTGGAAATGGAGTGGTTTCAGAGTGATGTGAAGGATCAGGAACAATATTGCCATCTACCAGATCAACCTCTATGAGTCTCTTGTGTTCTTTGGTGCGGATATAAGTCCATCATCAATTGCCAATCCAGATGAGGACCTTCAAGGTGCATGTGGTCTTGGTCCTTTTAAAGCAAAGAAGGGCACTGGGTGGCTCAGCTGGTTAAGTGTCCGACTTCGGCTCAGGTCATGATCTCACGGTTCATGAGTTCGAGCCCCGTGTTGGGCTCTGTGCTGACAGCTCGGAGCCTGGAGCCTGCTTGGGATTCTGTCTCCCTCTCTCTGTGCCCCTCCCCACTTGCACTCTATCTCTCTTTCTCTCTCAAAAATAAATAAGCATTAGAAAATAATAATAAAATAAATTAATAAACAAACAAACAAAAAATAAAGCAAGAAAAATATTTTCATGGAGATTTCCCTAATAGATGGCTAGATGCAAAATATATTGGATGAGGAAATCAGAGACTAGGTTTTTCATTAGTAGCCCTGCTTGCATTTTTATGTACCACTGCTTCCATGGACAATTAAGTATTAATTTTAACAATTGTTTTTCAACAGGTAAATAATATACAGAATAATTTACATGAGCAAGATATTTCATTTGTTTTTATACATTTTATAAAGCATAGCTGTAAAAGGTCATTACATGTATTAAAATTATGCTTATATTTTATTAAATCATGGTCTTTAAATTTGAAAAAAATTGAAAAAAGTTCAATTTTGAAATAAAAATAAGCCACTCAACTGAAAATTTAGTTGGTTTTTACTTACTAACATTGGCACCCTACTCTTTCAGGAGGGAAAAATTTTAGTGTTGATTCCAAACCTGCTTAGCTTCTTTAACGATAAATCCTGTCAGATGGTCAATGGCTGTGGAGACTGAGTTCGGTAACAATTTAACATGCATACCGTCACATTATTGACCACTTCTCCCTACAGATTGATGCCTTGCCAGAAATCGTGGAGGCTGTGGAAGGGAAGGTGGAAGTCTTCCTGGATGGGGGTGTTCGGAAAGGCACCGATGTCCTGAAAGCTCTAGCCCTGGGAGCCAAGGCTGTGTTTGTGGGGAGGCCAATCATTTGGGGCTTGGCATCCCAGGTAATTGGAGGATGAAGAAATAAATATATAAAACAGAACTACAGTGACATAAATGCATGAATTAAGTCAGACTGACTTACCCCAAAGATCTGTATCTTTTTACTTGCTTAGGGAGAGAAAGGTGTTCAAGACATCCTTGAGATCCTAAAGGAAGAATTCCGATTGGCCATGGCTCTGAGTGGTAAGACTGGCCATTCTCCTTTTCAACTTTCTTTTCTTCTTATGGGCTTTAGGCCAGGCTCCTTGGTGGACAGAAGTAAACTTGAGGGGGAAGAAGATGGAATCATTTGGGCTGTAATTAAATTTGAAGTTGGCTCCATGTTTACATCTCTAGTGCAGAATCCTCTGAACAGAGGAAGTGCTCAGTGTACACAGCCAGCAACAGTCGCTAAGCCTCTATCTTTGACAGTCTCACCAGGGATATGTTGGCGAATGTGAGTACCTGAAGGGTGAAGCCTACACTATACTCTTCCTTATCTCATAACACGTGAACAAAAAATCTAACTGGCTAGTCAACACCTTCACTGGGATGTCTAAGTGGCATCTCAAACTCTACCCGTCTCAAATGAAACCACAAACTTTTCCTATTGAAACTACTCCACTTGCAGACTCTCCGATCTCAGTTTATGTTAATACCACTGTTTCAAAAACCTTGAGTTATTTTTGACTCCTCATTTCCCTCACACCCTCACATCCACAGGACCTCTATCTGCAAAATGTTGTCAGAACCTAACCTCACTCGCTATTATAAGAGTTCCTCTGTGTTTCTTTCTAATCAGTCCCTCTCTCCCCTTGATGTTGCAGGTCGGTCTGTCTGTCCTTGCCTACCTCACCCTCCCACCCTGATCACAGCAGTCAGAGTGATCTCTTTACACATTAATTCAGATCATGCCACTGTTCTGATAAGGACCCTCCAATGGCTCTTGGTTTATTTACTCAGTGTAAATGCCAAAGTCCTTACAATGGTCTACAAGACCTTTATGTAGCTTGACCTCTGTCACCCCTCTGACCTCAACTCCTGCTGTCACCCTTGCTTATTCTGCCCAGGCCACATTTACCTCCTGCTGTTCCCTATGTCAGACATGTTTCAGCCTTAAGGCCTTTGCAGTGACCATTCCATCTTTCCAGATGCTGTTCCCGGGTGTCTACATGGCTAACTGCCTCACGTCCTTCAAGTCATAACTTAGATCACCTTTTCTCAACATCCTGACCACCCTATGTAAAATGGCAGTCCATCCTCCACCCACCTGCTCAGCTTCCAGTTTTCTTTCCCTGTTACTATTTCATTCTTCTCCCACAGCACCTATCGCCTTCTAGAAACCATCTATCGTTTCATTTACTTTTTAAATTATTTGCATCATGTATTATCTTTAGCTCTGTAGAATACAAGAAGCATGAGGCAGGGATCTTTGTTGTATTCAATTCAGCACCCCCAGTGTTTAGAGCAGCTCCTGGCACTTAAATAATATTTGCTGAAGAAATAAGTAAAAAAAATAAAAAAAAATCACCTTATTACTAGTGGCTGTTTTGAATCTGACTCAGAATGGACCTTGAGATGCAAAGAATGACATTGAGTCCAATGATCAACTTCCAAAGGTAAATGAGAGTTTCCTTTTCTGTGATCCATGTCACCCAGATTGTCCTCATGGATAGAATTCCTGAGATCAATGGTCTACTCCTACTGTGCTGAGCCTGTGTGGACACAGCCTCAGTGAGCAGCATGCCATTCTGTGAATCCTCACTCTGCATTTTAATTTGCTGCAGACATATCCTAAAAGAGAGCTTTCAGCCACTGACTCTCTATTAAATGTGGCAGAAAGAATATACTCTTTGTGTTAATAAAAATATGTGCCAGTCATTTTGTGTTAAGGACTGTTTAGGTAATAAAAATGGTCTCGTGCCACATAAGATTTGGCAAGCCTACCTTGAATCATAAACCTTACATTTGTCAAGTTTTACATTCCTTGGGAAAACGATTACCTGCCTGATTATTATTGCATTCATGTCATATTAAATGTATGCATTATTTTCTCAGGGTGCCAGAACGTGAAAGTCATCGACAAGACATTGGTGAGGAAAAATCCTTTGGCCGTTTCCAAGATCTGACAGTGCACAATATTTTCCCATCTGTATTATTTTTTTTTTTCCGGCATGTATTACTTGACAAAGAGACACTGTGCAGAGGGTGACCACAGTCTGCAATCCCCACTTCAATACAAAGGGTGTCGTTCTTCTCCAACAAAATAGCAATCCCTTTGAGCTCATTGCTTTTGACTTTTCAATGGGTGTCCTAGGAACCTTTTAGAAAGAAATGGACTTGCATCCTGGAAATATATTAACTGTTAAAAAGAAAACATTGAAAATGTGCTTAGACAACGTCATCCCCTGGCAGGCTAAAGTGCTGAAAAACAAAAGATATCCTTTGGTAAAATTGGAGGTAGCTACCACTGAGGTAAAAAGATAATGATCTCACTGTTTATTAATTTGCATTGTGTTTAGATATCCTTAAGCCGGGTTCTTAAGTTGTAAGCTCAGGTTCAAAAGGTTGGACCATGCCAGGAGAAACAGGAGATTTAGATTCCCAACACGGAGGAGGTAGCCCTTGATAGAATTGGGTCGAGCTGGTGGGAATATGTGACTTTCTGGATACTTTTTAACACCCTGACTTATGCTACTTCTTTGAATGTAGATTTCTGTTCACATCTTTAGTGCCTGCAGGTATCTGAATATTTTATGACATATATATATATATATATATATATGTGTGTGTGTGTGTGTAT